TTCTCGCCTACATCGTCCATATAGGACGACTCGGGAACTCAACTCCTACCCCGGGCAGCTCACCGATCCCCTTATGCCCAGGGGAAAGGTATCAAGCCGTTTGACAGCTGATGCTGGCTGTCAAACCGGCTTTTACGCAAAACAGGCGGGAGGCAGCAAACAGCTGCGACCAGCGAAATCGCCTGCCACCGGAAGTCCCATATTTTACTTATTATTATCAGCAAAGTGCTTGTTAAGTAAAGTGATTTTTTTTGTCATGGTTGTTAAGCAAATCAGTGTGGTTGTTAAGTGCATGTTGCAGTTGTTAAATAAACCAGACTTCCCCCATTGACTTTGCCAGCTGGGAAGGTCGCAAATGACAATCACATGACCCTGGGACACTGCAACTGTCATAAATACATGCCGGTTGCCAAGCAACCAAACTTTGATTTGACTATCGGTCTGCTGACTGATCTGATGTGACTGTCTGGACACTGTGATGGTCCTAAGCACAAGGACTCACCATAAGCTATTTTTTCAATCCTATAATAACTTCAAATGGTCACTAAACAAATGGACTACCTATAGATCTAAAAATTAACCTATTGAAGATAAAAGTAGTTATGCTTGAAAGGGATAATATGAAATGATTGAAGCTATATATAAATAATAAGAAATTAGAGCAAGTAGTAGACTTTCGTTACCTTGTAAAATGTATGGCTGTGAAAGTTGGACCATAAGAAAGGCTGAGCGCAAAAGAATTGAGGCCTTTGAACTCTGGTGCTGGAGAAGACTCCTGCGAGTCCCTTGGACTGCAAGGCATTCAAACTGGTCAGTCCTAGAAGAGATCAACCCCGACTGCTCTTTAGAAGGCCAGATCCTGAAGTTGAAACTCAAGTACTTTGGCCACCTAAAGGAAGGAAGGAAGGACTCACTGGAGAAGGGCCTGATGCTGGGAAAGATGGAGGGCAAGAGAAGAAGGGAACGACAGAGAATGAGGTGGCTGGATGGAGTCACTGAAGCAGTAGGCGTGAGCTTAAATGGACTCCAGAAGATGGTAGAGGACAGGAAGACCTGGAGGAACGTTGCCCATGGGGTCGCGATGGGTCGGACACGACTTCGCAACTAACAACAACAAAAATTTCTTTTGCCCTCTACTTTCTTTCCGCCTTTTGCATAACGCGGCTTCCCCAGGAAGGGAATAGCATGACGGGTATTGATGCAAATATGTTTGTTGCCTTTTCTAATGAAGTATCAGCATCTTCCCATTTTGTATCATGATAGGGGAGCCAGAATTCCGCTACACTGCAGGCATTCACGGCAACGAGGTGTTGGGTCGGGAGCTGCTGCTCATGCTGATGCAGTTTATCTGCAAGGAGTTCAAGGACGGGAATCCGCGCATCCGGAACCTGGTGACAGAGACCCGCATCCATCTCGTCCCGTCACTCAATCCCGATGGCTATGAGATTGCCAGCCAAATGGTGAGTCTGACTTGGTCGATCGAGCTGAAGGAACCCAAAGACAGATGGAGGGAACCCTAAGCTGGAAGGGTTGGGGGGCTATTACTAAAGGGAAAAAAAATAAGATGGAAATGCACCAATTTGCTAACTTTCTAAAATTATGCACACTGAGATCTGCCTTGGTTTTGCAAAGCTGCACCTTGCTTTCTTCACTATACTCTGTGTGTGTATGTGTGTGTGTGTGTGTGTGCGTGTGTGCGTGTGTGTGTATAAATGGCCGGTTGAGTTATTTCAGAATTAGGTCTTCTGCCCAAGAGGAACACAAAGCATCCAAGCAATTTTCAGCCTTGCAAATTTGAAGTTAGTGTTTACATACAACTGCCATGTTAGTTTTACACACACATTTACAGTCCCCAGGCAGCATCACCACGAGGAACAAAAATAGGGAGGCCTACTTCTGATTGAGGGAGTCTCAAAAAAGCAACAAGAAACCAATAAAAAAATAAGCGTAAGGCCTAGCCACGAATAAGATTATGCAAGCATATCCTCTTTTCCACGCATTTTGAACATGTCACGTGGGGGAATTCACTGCAGAAAGCAGTTATGTTTGGAAGACAGGCTGCCAAAGAACACGGCGGCTGGACACCATCAAAACTGACAGCGGCCAGAGCCTAGAAAAACTCAAAGAAGCAGTACAAGATCGGAAGATGTGGAGAGACCTGGTCCACACGATCCACACGAATGGATAACCTCATGCTCACCCTCTTTTCAGGGCTCAGAACTGGGGAATTGGGCTCTGGGACACTGGAATGAAGAAGGCTTTGATCTCTTTGAGAACTTCCCTGATCTCAACAGCATCCTCTGGGCTGCGGAAGAGAGAAAATGGGTACCACACAGAGTCCCCAACCACCACATGCCGATTCCTGATCACTACCTTGCAGAAGATGCTGCAGTAAGTACACAGATGGGGGAAGGTGGGTGAGCATCTGGTGCAGGAAAAACTAGCATCCTGGTGTAGGGAAAACCCACCAGCCCCTAAAACATGTACAGTATGTGGGTTTTTAAAGCCAGAAATATCCACTTCAAGAAATAAAATATAGAACCATGGGGCTGGAAGAGACTCCAGAGGTCTTCTAGTCCAACTACCTGCTCAAGGCAGGAGATTTTATACCATCCCGGTCAAATAGCTGTCCAGTCCATTTTTGAAAATATCCAGTGATGAAACATCCACAACTCTGGAAGGCAAGCTATTCCATTAATTAATTGTTGTCCCTATCAAAATATTTCTTCGTACTTCTAGGGGGATCTTTCTTTAACAAGCTTCCATCCATTAAAGAGAGACCCAACCTTTTTTGTTTGTTTTTATCTGCTTGGGCTAGGTGAGTTTAGAAAAATTGAAGAGGGTTGGACCTTCTTAGGATTTGGTTGAGAGCATCGCCTAGTTGTTGAAAAAAAGCATTCTGGAAGAAATTGGTTCTGGGCTATCACTAAGAAAACTAAATTGATTTTGAAGTCACCAGGAGTTGAGATGGAAATTGAGGTAGAATAGAATATAGAATATAGAATATAGAATATAGAATATAGAATATAGAATATAGAATATAGAATATAGAATATAGAATAGAATAGAATAGAATAGAATAGAATAGAATAGAATAGAATAGAATAGAGTATAGATTGCCTCCCACCGGCCGATACGCTCCCACAGAGAGGCCCTCATCAGGGTGCCGTCGGCCAGACAGTGTCGGCTGGCGACCCCCAGGGCAAGGGCCTTCTCTGTCGGAGCACCCACCCTCTGGAACGAGCTGCCCCCAGAGATCCGGGTGATTCTGGATCTCCCCTCCTTCCGCCGCGCCCTTAAGACTTGGTTGTTTCAGCGGGCAGGACTGGCCTAGGGGTATTTTAAATTGGTTTTAGCCAAATTTTAGTAGAAGCGGCCGATTTAAATATTTATTTTTAATGATTTTTTAAAACTTTGTATTGTATTGTATTAAACTGTTTTTAAACTGGCTGTAAGCCGCCCTGAGTCC